CATAATGAAACAAATGAACAGTTGTCCTTGATCTTTAAGAAGCACATGGGAGGAAAATACTTAAACAATAATTATGATGTACTAGGACTTTAAGTCTAATATAGACAGTCAACAAGTAGTATGGAGAAAGAGGAGTTCTCTGTAGGATCAAGGACAGGTTCTCAGAGGTAGACATCTCTTTGAGAAGCAATTTCAGTGGAGTTATGATGGAAGAAGCTTAGAGAGTCATGGTGAAAATCCTATGTATTACACATTTTGGCTCAGATATATATAGCATAAATCAAGCTCTAGTCTCAGGGTCATTAATTTATTACCTGAGAAAGGAAAAGCTAAAAACGTTGCTAAAAGACTTGTATGTAATACCTCATTATGCGAGTACCTGAAGACATTTTCAAGGGACCAAATTGTATTGTGATTTCTAAAATTTAATTCTGAGTTCTACCAAAATTTGGTCAATTAAAAAACTATTAAGAATTTGTCTTTACTGTCTTATAGTCTGTTTTTTTCCTCTTCAGCATTAAATATATGCTATTATATAAGTTATAGGTACTCTGAATCATTTTTTGGCCCCGGATGTTTTCTTTCCTATAGAGCACCCACCTTAAAATATTAACCATGATGTAGTACATCCAACATGGAACCTCTGCCCATTACCCATGATCCTTAGCTTTAGGTCTTATCTGTTCTGAGCTGCTTAATGATAACAGCTTTATAAGCTGGACCAATTAGAGCAAGCCTGCTTTTCAATCTAATGTGTTTTTGTGACCATCCAGTTCATTGACTATGTTCTTGACATAGCATGTAGTAATCGGTAGCAGTAATTCTTGCTAAGTCTACCTGGAGAGATTTATGGTATAGGATACAATTTCCTATTTTCTTCTAATTTTTTAATCTCCCACTTTTCTCAAGCAGAAGCAGATCACATTTATGCAGAATCAACTTTGAGTGTGCCCTGAATTTTTAGCTCAATTTTATAGAAATAAATTTAATATACTGGTAAATAAATACTAAGTGAGAATAAAGGGTAATTGTATACTGTGATATTAAAAATTCATAACCTTTTAAGCATTCTTACTAGCTCTATGCAGGGTCACTATGAGTTGGAACTGACTTGATGGCACTTAACAACAACAACAAATAAAGATTGTTATGCTATTCAGTTCAAAATCATTTAGGATGTATTCAGCATTTTTGCCTCTTCATCTGTATTTTCTTCCAGATTTCAGACTTGAACCAGTCTGCAATTGACTAGCCAGCCAACCAGTCTGCAAATGACTAGCCAGCCAACCTAGAACCTGCTGATCCCCATTACCACAGGATTACATCCAAACAACCAATTGAAAATCTGGATATGAATATGAATATTCATGCACTTTTTATTTTTCATTTTTACTCTTTCAATATGACCACTTTCAATTTTACATACCATGCTATAATTTGTTATTGTTAACATTTCATATAATATAGCTAGATCAGAAATGTCCCCTCTGTGACTAATTTGTATCATCTTTTTTTTCTCTAATAAGAAATTTTTTTAACATTCTATGACTTACCCTTGATAAGAGAAAAGTGTAAGGCAAAAACAAATAAAACCCTTTTTTAAAAAAACTGAAGGAACAAAACAGTTCCTTCATCTACTATCAGCATCTACTATTCACCTGAAATGTGGGCTTCTGGTATAGCACTGTAGGATAAGCACTGGAGTGCAAACCATAGGGTCAGCAGTTCAAACCTACCTGCTGCTCTTTGGAAACCCTATACAGGATCACTGTGAGTCAGAACGACTCAACAGCACTTAACAACATTCACTTGAAGCAAGAAATGTAAGTAAAACAGGGAATCATTATATTAAGCAGAGGTATGATCTCTTTTAAATTGCCTTACATTTTCTTCTTGAGATTATACATAGGAGTCACATGATAGTTCATGGAGATTTAGGGAGAAAAATTCTTTAATTTACATGGTTACATTAAAAGGGACTTCCCACTCCAATTAGATCTTACCCCAACTATTTTTATATAAAGGGAGGCCATAGTCAAACTACAAAGAGGAAAAATATTAGTGTCCATAGACCTGGGTCCAGGAATGTTTTTCAGTCTTTATGACTATCTGCAGTTTTTACTTCCTGAATGTCACCAATATACTCACTGGATACGGAAAATCAAACGTGATACAGTATTCGGTTAAGTGCCTGAGGTTCCTAAAATAGATAAGACATACATAAAAATCCAAATTTTCAGTGGGAATTCAGACTCTTAAAAATGATGACTGTGCCCCATATATTGGTTGTTAACATTTGAAGACATATTATGCCAATAACCAACAGAATCTATATATGAGGATACTAGCTACCTGCCTTGACTTGAGTGTCAAATAGTGAATATGACAAAGGAAACTTTAAATGGTGTTCATTTGTAATAGTGGCTCTTCCTATCATTGTCATCGTTGGTAAGAAGAGAAATGCCATTTGAACTAGAGCCAGTAGCCAAAAAGAAATTCAGAGATACACTTAAGAGTTTTAACCTGTTTTTTGAACATGTGTTCATAGCTGGGTATCATAACATGCAGTAGTTATAAAATATGACAAGGTTTCATAGTAAAATTTTTTGAGATTAACCTATCATATTTTCTTCATGTCTCAGACAATAAAACTAGCCTCTTTTTTTTTTAATTTTTATTTTTAAGGAAATGCTTTGTTGCTTTGTGGCAATCTTGTAGCACTAATTCACCGCTAGTTAAGAAATCTAGGATCCCCATAGGTCAAATGGTTGAGTTTTAAGGATCTGTATGAGGGTTTGATTCTTATTAATTCTTACATATAAATGAAATAAGTTGGCATCCTTCCTTTTTCTTTCTTCCAAATTTAAGAGTTTCCATACCACCTTGGTGTAGCACTATAGGATCAGCACTGGACTATGAACCACAAGGTCACCAATTCAAACCCACCAACTGCTCCTCAGAAACCCTATATACAGCTTTGCTATGAGTCAGAACTGACTCGACGGCACTCAACAACAACAAAACATACCACCTTAGCCTCTCAAATAGCCATTCAATGATATAGGAGCGCTTAGCAAATCTGTGACCAATTCATTTCGAATTAAAGTTCCAAATGTACCCCTAAGATGTTCAAAACAGAATTCATTTTCTTGGATTAGGGTGGTAAAATTCTTTCCATCCTCGTATTTCTACATTGATTCATTCAACAGATATTTGCTGAGTGCCTGATATGTGTCTGGTTCTGCACTCTGCAGCCTGACCTTTACCAGCAGCAGGATACAAAAGTCAGAAGAAAAAAAATGACCAAGCATTCATAGACCAAAAGTTGAATGGCAGAGTGTAGCAGATAAGTGGGGTGACTCTGTAGATAGCCCAGTCAGAAATTCCATTTTTGGAGGGCTGAAGCCCAAGCTCCTCTCTGTACCATCTGAGTCATTTAAGCCCTGTTACTTGAACCATACTGTTCTAGGCATTTTGAGAAGCAATAGAACAAACAGTAATCTTTCGTATTCTGCAGAAGAGAAACTAGTCTTGAATACTCAAATTTCTAGTATGATTTAGAACGTTAGAAGTAGTAGTACCAGGTTTGCAAAGTGATAAGTATAGACTCTTAAGGATATGCTTTTTTAGTACATTTTACTCTCCTTTTGTTTTGGTTGTTTTCCCCTAAAGTCTATGCATTGCATTTCTTCATGGATGCAATTTAAGTGATTTTAGAGCTGAGTAAATGACTTAATAGTTTAGATTATGCCTAATGAGCTTTCATAAGAACAGCAGCAATTTGTGGAGTGCCTACTATGTGCCTAGAGATAGAAACTGTTGAGTACCTAGAGATAGAAACTGAATCTCATGCCTTAGGAAGGGCCATAATCTAACAGATAACTACAGTAAAATATGCTCGATGTAATCATATTTGTATTTGTCAGATAAATAGTAGTGACAAAGAGTGCAGAGCTTTCTTCTTAGGAAGGAAGGAGTTCGGAAAGGCTTTGATTAGGAAATGAGATGAGCTGGATTGAATGATGAAAAGGCAATTTGTAAACATCTGTGGAGTCCTGGTATGGAGCTGTAGGTTAATGTGCTGGACTGCGAGGTCAGTTTGAACCGCAAGGTCAGCTGTTGAAGCTCACCAGTTGCTCCTGTGCAGGGTCACTATGAGTCGGAACCAACTCGATGGCATTTAACAACAACAATAACATGGTGTGCAGATAGAGAATGCATTCTTAGTATCTGAACTTATATTATGGTATGATAGAGTTTAAGTTGAAAGGAACCTTACTCTAATTGAATGTCCAAGTCATGTAAGAATTTCCTCAGAAATCCCTGACAGGGAAGTAATGTAATGAGTGTATGAGTAATGTAATGGTTTTACATTGGGGCTTCAGATTCTCGTCCCCAAAGTGGGGTGGAGAGTGGATGTAAACTACTGGGAAACCTGCTCATTTTCTTTACCTGGTTTATGTATTAGATTTACATATGTTTTCATTGAAGAAATACTAGTTTCACAGCTAAAAGCTAAATAGAAAGCGTGGGACCAGTGGAGTAGCCCTATATTTGTGTTCTTAGGCAAATGAAATGAAATTATTCAACATATTAGAACTGTAATACATTGAGTGTGCTTTCATTATTTTAAAGTTACTTTTATTATCATTGTTTGGGGTCTGAGTTCTCTTATTTGCAAAATAAGGGCACTTCACCCAGAAGTCTCAGGTTCCCTCTAGCTCTAGGGTTATATAACTCTGAATATTTTATGGATTAGGATGCTCTTTCAGTATACTCCTATCCATTTTTTTGATAAGACTTAATATTGGAATCAGAGCATATTGTTTTCTGAATTATGATTAGCTACTGATTTTATCAATTGTAAATACCAGCACATAAAACTGAGACTGTTATTTGCAGGATATGGACATTTCAATAACTAGTGATATTTTGTGTAACACATATGCCCAAATGCTTCAAATGTTGCTTTTAATGAAATATTTATGTTCTTTTGGTAGCCAGACGTGCAACTTGCTGAAGGCTTTGATGTGTTTATGCCTAAATCTCAGCTGGACTCTATATTGTCAAACTACACTCGCTCAGGAAGCCTTCTGTTTAGAAAACTGGTGTGTGCATTTTTTGATGACAAGACTTTGGCTAACTCCTTACCCAATGGGAAGAGGAAAAGAGGACTCAATGACAACCGGAAAGGACTAGACCAAAATATTGTGGGTGCAATAAAAGGTTGGTCTGCATCATTTCATTTTATGGGTTCTCTGTTGAGTTTTACTTTCATTAACTATGCAGGTGAAATCATAATCAGCTAACTAGAGGCTAATTGAATTTGTCATTGGCAAATCTTAAATCTTAAGAGACATGGCTTTTAGGTGTGAGCTGTATAGCTCATCAACCCAAATACCATTGGAATTTGGTATTTCAAGGTGATGTTAATTTGTTAATAATTTCAGAGCCCGTTTTATCTGCTATAGAATCAACAGGAAGTTTTTTCTTAACTGACTTTTAAATGAAGGTATTTTTCTTTTAGAAAACTTTCCCAGAATATAATTTTTCTTAAATTTTAAATCTTAAATTAAAGATCTGATGCATTTTTTTTGCATATTGAAGTAAAACAATTCTCTCCAAAGTTCAGGAGTTGTTTTACCAGGTCACTATTTCTCTTTTAAGTCTAAGTCAGGCCACTGTGAATCTATACATTTGACACATTTCTGGTCTTTTATGTCCTTGTTTTGTGGCATGGAGATGTGTCGGTTACATGCACAGAAGACCATGGATCTTTCCCCCTTAACACCTTTGAACATGTGGCTGCATACCACCGCTTCCCAGCAACACTCATGTATGAGTATACCTTCATTTATAGTCAGTTTTGCATCGTAGGCCCATTTCTTGACTTTAAAATGTCCTTATTTAGTACTCTGATGACTGTAATTTTAGGAAATAGATGTGTTTAAATGTTCTTTGTTAAAGTAATGTAAACGAATTCTCAAATATAAATACTGCCATTAGGATGAACCTTGAATCAGGACTTAATTAAAATGAGAATAACTGATAAGGATGTTCTTCAGAGGCCCTGCTCCCGCAGCCCTCAGTGCTTGGCTCGTGGAGTGGGGCTAGATGCAGTCTCCTCTCAGCCTCCTGCTCCCCATTATCTTGCAGAATGGGTAAATGAATTTAATGGTCTTTAAAGGATACTTGGAAATCCACAATTTATAAAATAATGTATGATTTTTAAAATGGAGTTAGCAAATTCCAGACACTCTTTGTTCATGACCACAAAGACGTAAGCCTTCATTAAGAGAAAATTTCTCTTTCTCCATTGGAATATTTTCACTTAAAATGACAGTTGAGTTGTATGAAATTTAAAAAGCAACAGAAATAACAGTCTGTGCCATTGCTGAAAAGAATGATGCAAACTACAGTGACACTAAAAACAAAATTACAGGATTTGAAAAATGCTCAGTGATGTAACTGGAACTCATAGAAGTGACGAAGGGTCCCATTTCATTTTAGCATGGCTGGAGCCTTCTCCAAACATGAAGGTCAAGGCTCATGGTGTTTTTCATTGCTGAAGCTTTTAAACACACTGAAATGTAGCCAGGAATTGTTTCAATTTCCTTTTTTTTTTCAGGACAGTATTTTAGCATTAAAGAAGTGTTTGAAAATTGTTGTTAAGTGCTGTTGAGTTGGTTCCCACAAATAGCAACCCAGTAAAGGGTTTCCGAGGAGTGGAGATGTGTTTGAACCTTGAGGTTAGCAGCCCAGTGCTTATCCTACAGCGCTTCACAAGGACCCTATGTGAAACTTGTTGTTGTTGTTGTTAAGTGTTGTTGAGTCAATTCCAACTCACAGTGACCTTGTATAAGGTTTCCAAGGAATGGCTGGTGAGCTTGAACTGCCAACCTTGTGATTCAAACTGATCTTGCGGTCCAGCACATTAACCTGCAGCGCCACACCAGGACTCCATAAATGACCGTGTTTCATTTTAATGATAGTAGAAGTTACCTTAATAATGCATGGTAGTGAAATATATCATTATATGTAGACTGATCTAAGTTTACTCTACCATTTTCAGTCTAGCTTATGCATCAAACAAGTTTGAAAAAATATATTACAACAAGCAGAAATAGAAGACACACCTAAATCTATCACTGCCCTACTCTTCAGCTAGAAATCAACATGGCAGTGAAGTTGCGTTACCTAATACAGATTATTAGGTACAGATTATTCAAGGTAGAAAACTTTAAATTTCCATATTGTTCTTTTATGGTTGAATGAAATCTGTCATTGAAATTCAATTAGAACAACAGCAAAGTAACTTTAAAAAAGAGAGAAATTCATTCATAAGCCACCAGCAAAGCAACCTAGATCAACAAATGTTTTACATTTGCTTCATTATTCCTGGACATACTTTTATTTTATAACTTTTTCCTGATTACAAAAGTAACATATGCTTACAAAACAATCCAAACTAATAAAAAATTGTAGAAAGCTGAAAGACCTCCGTCAGAGGTTACCACTATTAACAATCTGGTATACATTCCTGCAGTCTTTTTTCAGAGTATACACATGGTTGTTTTTAAGTGTCATTGAGTCAAATCCAGCTCACAGTGACCCTGTATAGGGTTTCCAAGGAGCAGCAGCCGACCTTAAGGTTAGCAGTCCAGTGCTTATCCTACAGCACCACACCAGGACTCCTTACATTTGGTATCAGGTTTATGTTTTTATAAGACTATTCTGTTCATACTTGCCAACAAACATATTTGCCTGATTTATTCTGCTAGTTTCTTGTGAGCTCCTCCCTGAGGACAATCTTTGTCTTAAATATTTTTATTACTACCTGTTGTACTTCACAAAGCACTTTACACATAGTAGGATTTCAATAGGTATATGTAGTGTGAGTGAACAGATACGGTTTTTCATTTTATACTTTTTGAGTTTGGTCTTCATGGACACAATGAATCTCTAGTACTGACTGCCCATTCTCATGCCGTATGCTTAGTCTTAGGAAGTTGTTGTAAAGTTCTCTCAGTTAATAAAATGCCAGTGAAAGCAAAAAATGGAAACCTAAATTGAATAAAATTTCAACACAACTCTTTTAACTTCCCTTTACCATACCATACTTTTACTCACTAAAATTTATTAATCCACATGTTATAATAGAAAGTGATTTTTGTTAGTCGCTATATACTGAAGATCATATAAAATAACTATTCCTACTTACTCTGGCTATTAATAGAAAAGAGAAATGTTTTTACTTAACCCAAGCCTTTTGAATCTGAGTATTCTGGGAAATTGAGAAAAGGGTTTATTTCTGCACAACAGTGTCACGGATATCCTGTGTTGTTATTATTGTCTGCCACATACTTTGAAAGGATTTCTCATATATTAAATATTTAGTCATTTATTACTCTATCCTGGATGGCATAGTGCACTAGTACTGTATTAATTTGGAAAGTCCTGTCACTAAGAACACAGGAAGACTGGTCAATTTTATAAAATCTCAAAAATGAAAAGAAGTAATGAGGCTTGATTTTGTTTCAAAGTGATTAGATTGGCTAAGACAATGATGGGAACAAATGTGAATGAATATATATAAAATACTTATAAAATAGGAAGGCAATGGAATGTAAAAAGATTAATGTGGGGATTGTTAACAAAACTTTGTTGTTATTGTTGTTAAGTAGCATCAAGTTGGTTCTGACTCAGAGCAACCCTATCTAGGTGTTCCAAGGAGTGACTGGTGGGTTTGAATCACCTACCTTGTGGTTAGTAGTTTAGTGCTTATCCTGCAGCACCACACCAGGACACCAAAGCTTTTCCCCATCACAGTATGGGGAATATTAAAATAAAATAAAATACAAACTTCTTTGTAGAGATCATATTTTTTACATTCTCATCTTATTAGGTAATTCATTAAAAATATAGGTATGCCCAACAATATTGATGATGAAAGAATCCTTAATTAGAAATACACATTTTGAGTTTTACTCTGAGAAGCAGCAACTTATAATCTTACTAAATACAGTTATAGGGATATAAGGATAAAGTGTAGTATATTGGATTTAATTCAGAATTGATTTTATAGCCAGAGCTATAAAGTAGAATGGAGGTTAGTACTCGTGTGTTTTCCTTACCTCAAGCTGTACCTGCTGTATACTACATCTGGCATCTAATTCTTGTACTGATTTACTCAGTAAACCATGCAGCTTGACTGAGTGAGAATTATCTAAATAGTACTGTGTTCCTTGAATCTCTAAATACGCCTCAGAAAAATATAGTTGAGTAAAGTAGTTCTTAAGGAGCTCTGGTAGCGTAGTGGTTACGAATCGGGCTGTAAACCGCAAGGTCAGCAGTTCGAAACTACCAGCTGCTCCGCGGGAGAAAGATGAGGCTTTCTACTCCCGTAAAGATTTACACCCTCGGAAACCCTGTA